ACCGAACGTGCATCACTGTTGCCTTGGATGATATCGTCGAAGCGCCAATGACGATGCCTGGAATACGAACAAGGTGCGAGATGTTGGTGGCATTGAGGTCACGGATCGAAATGTGTGTAGCTGAGGAGTGGAGTAGAAGCTGATGGGTGGGTAGTTGGATGTCTCTCTGGGAGGGGTATACAATGCGGCGAGTACAATCTTGGAGTGCTGATTCAAACTAAGTGGCATTGTTGGTCAGGATGAGGTTCAAGGATTTAGGAGATGGAAACTCACGAGGGGGATGAGGTCGGCAGGCTCTGTGGTGAGCTTGTGTGCTAGCTCTTCGTTGTATGAGATCAAATGAGCGATATCAATATCGCAATAGTATTGCTTGACCAGAACATTCTGGCGAAGTTGGTCACTGTCATCCACCTTAGCTTTTGTTGACTTGAATCTTCACTGTATCCGGGCTAGGGCCAAACATACCGGTAGATGAATGCATTGTCAAGCTGGAATTCGAGCACAAACTCCTTTAATTTTGCTCGAATCTGAGAGCGAGAGTCTTCCACACCATCGACGCTAGGAGCGAGGACACTCAGGGTATAAGGGGTGCGTCTGTCCATGGTGAAGACACTAGAGCGGACTGCGGGGATGGGATTGTGAGATGTGTTGATTTCGGGACCGTCTCATTGCCAGGGCAAAAAAGGACCTGCAAATAACTTTTGCGGCGGGACACGAGCCGAACGCGTCGCGTCGATTTCACGCGTTAAGTGGTTTTCTTCATGCCTGAGGCAGAACAAACATCCCTCACCGCTCTTCAGACCGCTGGAGGCGGCAGAAACTAGTGAACCTCGTCGCAAAAACCTCGGATTTAGCGGATTTTGGAAACATACAGCTTCAAAAAAATTCATCTGAGATTCTGTTAATAACTTGGCGGTGCGGTGTGGCAGTATTCTGGAGTGCGTCCACAAGCACGAGACTTGGTGCCGGCAGCCGGAGATACTAACTTCCCGAGGGGTACCCAAAGCAGACTAGTGGACACGGTCTCGGGGCCTGGCGCCATACTGGATCGGGGGAAGCTGTCATGGAACCAACCCCCGTATCAGAGGGTCGAGGGTGACGTTGCAAGCGGGCTTTGTCGGCGTGGCTTTCATTCTCTCCTCTTGAGACCACAGGCTTCAAACCCTAGCAGTGTGGGATCATTGGCTGAACGCCATTAATGCCCCTTCGTTTTTGAATTGCAGCCTTTTCTCCTTGTCATGTGTAATTAGCCGTCGTTCGTTCTCCCGAGTACTACTACTAGCACGGTGGCTGTGGGAGTCGCTAATCCGCTATCGACGATATGTCGTCCGCGACCCCCCGGAAGTCCATTGACAGCTTGGCTTCAGGCGCATCGACTCCCTCTCTGTCTCAATTCTCACTAAACCAGATCGAATCGCCGCGTGCGTCGACTCAGAGGTATCCGCTTAGGAGAGGGTCGACTGCCAGCTCGATTGCCAGTATCGGGGGTATTTTGGATCCTTCCCACCGTCATGGATCGATAGCTGAGTCCGGGCAAAATGGTACGACCTATAGGAGTGAGGAAATCTATGAAGAAAATCGCATGCTAATTCGACGCAGCCATCTCTACTCTCCTGCAACCTCCCATTGTCCGCACCGGTCTAGTTCCCCATACCGCTGTCCCCTCCGCCGGATACAAGCCGCCAACTACCCGCGATATACCCCCTGTCACATTGACCAACATTCCGCATGTGGATCCCAAAGCGTTTGAAGCCTACCTGTCGCAAGTTGGGTCGTTGTACGACGTCTTCCAACAAGCAAAGGAAAGCGCCGGAGATCAGGAGTCGCAGCTAGCGCGGGGTAGCGACAAGTCTTCACCCAAGGCAGAGGAATCAGATTCGTTGGCCCCAAGGTCCAGGGAGAGACGACCATCGGCCATCTCAACCAGTTCACGAGCAACTTCTCCGTACGATACCCGGGGTCGGAAGCGGTCGTTTGCCGGTCGCGGTCGCGGTCATGCTATCACACCTCTATCTACCATCCCGACGGTCTACTTTGAGGACGACTTCCACCTAGAGAACCCACGCACCTTCGATGTCGTTTCGGAAAAGTCTGAGATTGTTACACCGTCAAAGGATAAATTCGAGAATGGAGGTGCCCTGGAACCGGCGCCCACGGGTAGAAAGGCTCTGGCTACGAATGCCATTCTACAAGAGAAGCTTTCGTGGTACATGGACACTGTGGAAATCCACCTTATCTCTTCTATCTCGACTGCATCTAAGTCTTTCTTCACTGCGCTGGGGTCACTGCGGGAGCTACATGCAGAAGCCGCCGACTCGGTGAAACGGATCCAGGTCCTGCGGAAGGACTTACAGAAGATTGACCGTGAGATGGCACTGGGTGGACTCAAAATTGTGAATTTGCGACGGAGGAGAGAGAATGTGCGTATGCTTGCAGATGCAGTATCGCAACTCCGTGACGTCGTCCAGTCGGTTTCCCGATGCGAGGAACTAGTCGAGACTGGTAAAATCGAAGAGGCTGCGGATGGATTAGAAGAGGTGGAAAGACTGATGGCCGGAGAGTATACCCCTGGCTCTCCCGACGGCAACGAGAAACAAGAGCAACCGAAAAAAGCCATCGATTTGCGCAAGCTCAAGGCCCTGGAAGGCGCATCTGACGACCTGGCACATCTGAGATACCGCATTGGCACAGGATATGAGAGCCGTTTCTTGAGCGACCTGCTGGGCGACCTGAGGCAGCATGTCGAAAACGTGCCTTTGGATACAACATTACAACGATGGGGCTCTGCGTTCCAGCGGCAGCGGGGAGGACAGCGTACAGGGGCTACACAAGCCCCAGCATATATGGCCTTTGATGACCAGTTACGGTCCCGGTTGCACCTGCATCTCACCGGCCTTGCTCGCGTGCGTCACACGACACCTGCAGCGACCGCTTTCAAGACCGCGGTTCTGCGAGAGATGAAGAGCTTGATCCGCAAACACATGCCCAGCTCGAGTGATGACGATAACGAGTCAGTGGTATCTGTGTCCACGCAGAAGTCCCAGCAGCTCAGCCAGCAGGAGAAATCATCCATCCTCGCGCGTAATCTCCGTGCCTTGGATGCACAAGACTCATACAACATGCTTGCTCGCGTATACACTGGTATCAGTGAGTCGCTGCGGAGACTTAGTGTTCAAGTCAAGGTTCTTCTTGATATTGCCAGTGGGTTGGAGAATCCGGCCGCAGTTGGTGTGAAGTCCGGGCCACCAAGCCCGAATCCTCAAGGTCCAGGCAAACCTGCAACACCGGGCCCTGTAGCCGCTGTGGCACAGGACGAGATACTGCAGGTCTTGGATATGTCCAGCCTTCTTGGCCAAGCCGTTGATATTGCTCAATCACAGGTTACCAAGGTGCTGAAGGTTCGATCCGAACAAACATCTCAGCTACCAAAGGATGAATTCCTCAAGTACTTCACTCTCAACCGGCTCTTCGCTGATGAGTGTGAGGCTATCTCCGGGCGTAGCGGTACCGCGTTGAAGACAGTTGTAGGCAACCAAATTAAAGACTACATCAATCGCTTCGGGGACGGACAGCGACGCCGTGTGGTCGAGGTAATGGATGCGGATCGATGGGATGCAAGGGACTTTGGAGAAGCCGACAATGCTATTCTCGATCGTATCCTCGGCGCCAGTACTAGAGATATTGATGTGTGGGTCGACGCATCCAAGATTTGGCTGCCCGAGAACGAACGCCGACAACCGTCTCCGGCCAGCACAACCGCTGTCAACGGGTCCGGAAAAGAGAAGACGCGCAGTGCCGTGATCGACGAGCAGAAGTACATTCTGTCCGAATCTGCTGTTGCGATGATGAAAAGCATCGAGGAGTATCAATATCTCATGGCGAATATACCCAGCATGATGCAAGACATTGCGCCTGGTTTGTTGGACTCATTGAAGCTGTTTAACTCCCGATCATCTCAATTGATCCTGGGTGCCGGGGCTACAAGAAGCGCAGGTCTCAAGAACATCACCACAAAGCACTTGGCTCTGTCGTCTCAAGCACTAAGCTTCATCATTGCCTTGGTTCCCTATATCCGAGAGTTCGTCCGCCGCCACGCGCCCTCCAGCCCGCTGATGGGCGAATTCGACAAGGTGAAACGACTGTATCAGGAACACCAGTCCGGAATCCACGAGAAACTCGTGGATATCATGGGATCTCGATCAGCCATTCACGTCAATGCCATGAAGAAGATTGACTGGAACGCACCTGCAGGGGGCAGTGGTGTAAGCCCGTACATGGAAACGCTGGCGAAGGAAACCGGCACGCTGCATCGGGTGCTGAGCAAGCACCTCCCCGATATGACGGTCATGATGATTATGGATCCTGTGTTCAAGAGCTACCGAGAGCAGTGGACAAAGGCATTCGAAGAGGTCACCGTGACTTCGGAGACTGGCAAAGAACGGTATGTGTGGTATCGCATGGTTGACTCAACGTAAGCTAATTATATGACCAGACTGAAACGCGACGCAGAATATCTGCAGACGAAGCTCGGCAAGATCGACGGCTTCGGCGATTTAGGCCAGCGTCTTGTCGAATTAGTGAAACAGAAGAAGATCGCTACAGAATCCAAGGATGCCACCGACTCGTCGGGAAAGTCATCGCCCGATTCCAACGGCTCAAAGAAACAATCCTAAGCAGAGGCGATTCATATTTGGGCCTTGATGGCCCAGATGTACATGATACAAACTTACCCCAGAAGATCCCAGTACCTTTGTTGGTACAGGGCTGTACAGGCTTATTTATTTCACATCCATGTTTTCCTTCACATTATCTGGCACACACATGGAGACCGTGACCATATTTATATAGACTCTAATAGGAACATTTCCCACTACACTGACATTGAAATATTTTAAACAAATCTAGTTCATTTATTTAATTCATTTCATTCGACCTCAACCCGGAGGTCATCATCATCACCCTCACTAAGAAGTAGTTAAAGGCATAGTATAGTATAGACTGTTAATACATATCCACCTAAAGAGGTACCTAAATCATGATATTCATGCATCAATCACCGCGAACTCCAATGCTCTTCTGCTTTTGGTTTATGCCTGGTGAGCCCCCAATCCCTTCTTATCGCCCAATGTCTTGGGCTCGTGTCCGCCCTTTCCGCTACCGGTCTTGTTCGGACCTGAGCTGCCGCCGATGCTGTACTCGCCGCCGCTGCTCTGGGCGGCCTCGGGAAGGGGAGCGGTGCGCTGGACGCGGTTGAGGTGGTCGTTCTGTAGCAGAAATATTAGCATTTGTGCATACTGCTGAAAAGCTGAGATGGGGTAATTTGCATACGGCAGGGTTCGTTCCATGAACCTTGGTCTCGCCGGCCTCGATGGCGTTGTCGGAGTGGGGGATTCCATCGTCGTATTCGGCTCCGCGGGGCATTTTGATGGCTGCAATGTACTTTATTAGTATCAGCTGAGAAGTAAACTTATGCAGTATATAGCGTACTTTGTGTATGTATATATGTAGTAAAGATGGAAATAAGGTTTGTTTTGTGGGAGTTAGATAGATTGTTGTTCGTTCTGAATCTGAGTCTGAATGATTGCAATGGAACGGTTACTGCAACCTACTTATATCCAAAAGTCAAAGGTGATGTGTTCATCGATTCGGGGCCCAGATTGTTGGTGTTGACACCATCGTGAAGTCATCGGTGCCGGGTACGGGCCCACTTATGATCTCATCGATGAGTGTGGGAAGGACAGGTACAATCTTACTATGATAAAGTAAGGGTTGGGGAATTGAGGTAAATACCATGTTTTAATTATGGTGATTTGATGTTTCAGAGGTATTTTCTTGGTAGATGTGATGGGGTTGTGGTTGGGGTTGTGATGTCGTGTGTCTTGGCTGCCTTGGTTTAGTTGGCGGCGGGAGGGTTGGTGCAGTGGTGTATGTATGTATGCCGGTTTGGGCAGGTAGGTATTTTAGTCTATTATGTTGTGTTTTATGTTACTATCTAGTGTGAATATGTACTATAGAGGTGTCATAGTGTTTGGGTTTCTAATAGAAGAGGAACGTGGCAGCTCGTAGTTTGAGATGGAATATTAGCGCATAAATGGTCTGTTGGGTGTGCCTTCCCATTGGGATATCTTTAGATAACAGGATGCCATTGTGATTTAACTGGTCATTAAATCGATACTCAAAATTAACAGAATTCAAACCAAGCTGTTGATGAAGTGAGAACAAGCGACAGGGGTTGGCGGTGTTGTCCAATGCCTCCCACGTGGTGGGATACTAGATTTAGCATCCTGCCCTGCGCTAACAGCCAGGTGTCGTGATTCTGGGTCTGAGGGTTACTGAGTAAAAGTCCAGGGACCATGTTCTACGCCTCACCAATACGAAGAAGTACCAAGGTACCATCTATGGCTGCTACATACCACGTGCAAAGTGGCTACATACCACTCGAACTCACCGGAGTCAATATCTGGCTCAACTATGACATCGCCAGTGTGCCAATGTCTCACCATCTTGATGATCATGTATGGCCTTAAGCTTGCATACAAGGCAAGCAAAGCACGGATACTCGCCACTGAGCTATATAAAGGCGTCAGTGCGCCGTTTATGGTATGTCGGCTGCTCTGAAGCTCACTGGAGAAGAATGTAGATCTGGATGCGGATCGTAAACCTATATAGGGAAGCGCATCCGCGCGGGGTAGCTATCATCTTGCAGATGTGGCAGAGCTGAACACTATTTGCCGCAGCAACAAAGCTTTGACGCATGAACTGATATACACACAGATAGCTATCCATTGCAGCAAATACTTTTCATGGACCAGGGGAACACCGATATCGCCCTTCGGGACATACCGTTGTCGGTAAGCTTTCTCGAGGACAAAGCGCAGACCAGACCATATTCAGACATTGCTCAACGAAGCAGAGACACGCGGTTGAGAGTATCGCTGGTTGCATTGGCATATAATCTTTGTGAAAGCCATTGCAGCGAATACGAAGCCAGTATGAAGTGGTCTCCCGCGGAGAACCCTGCCACCAGCATCACTATGATAATCTTGCGATCTTCCCGCCCATGATTGTCGTTGCGGTGCAGCTGGTGGCTGCAGGCAAGCGAAGTGATACATTGAGGAGGGCCCGGGGGTTTATCTTTTACGGCGGCCCCAGGCAGCCAGGCCGGGCGTCACATGAGACTGGTGACGTCACGGGACGACAGCTTTCCCCAGATTTGCCCCGAATTGGTCCAAGCGGAGACGAAATCTGGTACGTGTCTCGAGGGTGAATATATGGTTCTTATCAGGGAAAGAGTTCGTTCCTTTTCCGGTTGCAATTGATTTCTTCCCCAAATGGGAGGTAAGAAAAAAAAAATGAAAATCTCTTCACGGGTTCCTGACTGAGGGGAAAATTTTCAATTTCGCATTGTGCCACCAACAAGCCGACCGGGTGTCTGAACCCCCTGTAGGGAGGCGGCTCGACTAGCTCCCAACAATGTAAAACTTCCCTCTTCCCCTCTCCCTCTCTTCCACCAAGCTGTAGGCGCGATGGGCGCAGATAGCAGGGTCGTGCAAGTCCGAGCTTCCCAGCTGGAACGTTGCAACCCATCATCATCATCTGGTCGGATGATTCTGCAATCGACAGACCAACCGGGGTTGTCATTTGCCGGGGGGATCCCCCCTTCAGTGGTCCATCAAGCCAGAACCGGGGATGCGTCCGTGCAACTCTCCAAACCTTGGCTATAGCACGGGGGCCCTTCGGTGAGCTTTTCCCGGCACCCTGGTCGGGCCATTGCGCGAAGGATGCTGTCTCGTAGCGTGAATTGAACCTGTTGGAGGAAAGGGAGTGAAATGAAAAGAATCGGAACCCCCTCCTTGCGGTCCAACCACTTGCTCCCTGCTTGATTGATATTCCCTTCGTTTTCCCTTAGTTTCTTTCCCCCCGCCACCCGTTGCCTGTTCTTCCCCCGCACGTCACCTCAACTTTTCTCCTCTTCCTCGAGCTTTGCTGAGCTTGCTGCCACCCCCCGGATGCGCTTGTCCCTCGTGTTCTGCGCCAGTTAAAGAATTACTATTACCTACTCCTACCTCTCCTACAGCTCCGTCTTTCTCTTTCTATTCTTCCTTGCTTTCTCTCCTTTCGTTAAGCTATTCATAACCCTTCCAGCGCTACACTTCCTCTGAGCGCTCTCAAAGCAAGCATGGCCAGTGAGGATAATGGCCAAGAGCCCATAAAGCGCGATGTTCGCAATCACATTCTATTCGAGGTAGCGACGGAAGTGGCCAACCGGGTGGGAGGTATCTACTCGGTGCTCAAGTCTAAAGCTCCCGTGACCACCGCCGAGTATGGCGACCGCTACACCCTGATCGGTCCTCTCAATCGTGCTTCGGCGGCTGTAGAGGTCGAGGAGTTAACTCCGTCAAATCCTCGCATGATCGAGACCATCCAGTCCATGAAGGAGCGCGGGATCGAGATTGTCTACGGTCGCTGGCTGATTGAGGGTGCTCCGCGCGTGCTTCTTATCGACACAGGCACTGGTTACAAATATCTGGACGAGTGGAAAGGCGATCTCTGGAATGCAGCTGGTATTCCGTCCCCTTCTGCCGATACCGAGACCAACGAAGCCATTGTTTTCGGCTACCTGGTGGCATGGTTCTTGGGAGAGGTACGTATCCTAAGCGCATGGACCGCTGACTGCACGTGCGCATATGCTAATGATCTTCGACTCAGTTTATCGCTCATGAGCGTCGCCGTGCAGTGGTTGCTCATTTTCACGAATGGCTTGCTGGTGTCGCCTTGCCGCTGACCAAGAAGCGGCATATGGACCTGACGACAATATTCACCACCCACGCGACCTTGCTCGGTCGGTATCTGTGCGCCGGGTCGGTGGACTTCTACAACAACCTCCAGCACTTTGATGTGGATGCGGAAGCTGGCAAACGAGGGATCTATCACCGCTACTGCATTGAGCGAGCTGCCGCACACACAGCGGATGTCTTCACGACGGTGTCGCATATCACGGCCTTTGAGAGTGAGCATCTTCTTAAACGGAAGCCTGATGGCGTGCTGCCCAACGGACTGAACGTGAAGAAGTTCTCGGCTGTCCATGAATTCCAGAACCTACATTCGCAATCCAAGGAGAAGATCAATGATTTCGTGCGGGGTCATTTCTATGGCCATAACAACTTTGACTTGGACAATACCCTCTACGTATTTACTGCCGGACGCTATGAGTTCCGAAACAAAGGAGTGGATATGTTCATCGAGGGCCTGGCACGTTTGAATCACCGTCTGAAAGAGGCAGGTTCTAAAATGACCGTCGTCGCGTTCATTATCATGCCTGCTCAGACGTCATCCCTGACCGTTGAAGCGCTCAAGGGTCAGGCTGTTGTGAAGTCTCTGAAGGACACAATCGAGATGATCGAAAAGGGCATTGGGAGACGAATGTACGAGCGGTGTCTAGCATGGAAGGAAGGCGACAACATGCCGGACGAGAAAGACCTGATGGCTAGCCAAGATCGTGTGCTACTGCGCCGCAGACTCTTCGCCATGAAGCGACACTCTTTGCCTCCGATTGTCACGCATAACATGTACAATGATCACGAAGATCCCATTCTGAACCAGATCCGTCGTGTTCAACTTTTCAACCACGAGTCTGACCGGGTCAAGGTTGTCTTCCACCCGGAGTTCCTGAACTCATCTAACCCGGTGCTACCCTTGGACTATGACGACTTCGTTCGGGGTACCCATCTTGGGGTGTTCCCCTCGTACTACGAGCCTTGGGGATACACGCCGGCTGAGTGTACCGTGATGGGTGTCCCGAGTATTACCACAAACCTGTCTGGATTCGGTTGCTACATGGAGGAGTTGATCGAGAATTCGTCCGATTACGGCATCTATATTGTGGACCGTCGCATGAAAGGCGTTGATGACTCCGTTAATCAGTTGACGGAATTCATGTTCAACTTCACCCAGAAGAGTCGGCGCCAACGGATCAACCAGCGGAACCGGACAGAGCGTCTGAGTGACCTCCTGGACTGGAAGCGCATGGGTCTGGAGTATGTCAAGGCTCGGCAGTTGGCACTCCGTCGAGGTATGTGTATCTCCAAGCCATTATATGTAAGAGTGCTCACACAGTTATGCAGCCTATCCTTCGTCATTCGGCACGCCCGATGATGTCTACGATGTAATCGGTGGCACGGAGCAGAAAATATCGCGACCCTTATCCGTACCTGGCTCCCCGAGAGATCGTTCTGGTATGATGACTCCCGGGGACTTTGCCTCCCTGCAGGAGGTGAAAGAAGGCTTGAGTACGGAGGACTATGTCGCATGGCGACTGCCGTAAGTCCACCATCCCAGCTCCCCGGTGTAGGAATGACACAAGGAGCATCGATGCTGACGATCACTTTAATCTAGTACTAGCGAGGAAGAGGAGCCAGATGACCATTACTTTCCGCTCACCCTACGCACGAAGAAGAATGCCGACCGTCCGGCGTCGCCGCTCGATCAGCTGTCAGTCAATGGAGACAGTTGATCGACTGACAGGATAGCCCAGCGCGACAGCCTGGAATTCTGAATAACTTGCATGTCCGAGGTACCGTTCTTGGTGGAATAATCGTGTTCGAGTTTACTTGCTCTCACTAATCGGCCGCGTGTGAAATACTGCTTTTGGTCACCCCCTTGCTATTTTATCCAAAGCGAACTTCATTCAGAAGCGATGGTAGCTGCATTAGCCCGTCGCTCTGGTCAGCATGGCATTTCACTTTGTTGTTCAATTTTCCTTTCCGTTCGCATTGCTCATTCTCTCCATTCTTGCATTGTTTTATCCCTCATTTGCATATGTCATCAACGTTGTAGCCAGCGAATTTGTATCTTCTGATTGGAATCTACCGCAGTAGGTCCAGGTTGAGATAGTCGAATGCACGATGAAGATTATGTTGTAGCCCTACGGTCCCAAAATTTTCACAAGCTCCGAATTACCTCCATTGTGTGCAACCCACCGACGCAGTAACCGATAATCGGCCCCGTTGAGAGCGACGATGCGCAAGCAGCTAGGTTGATCATCCGATCCGAAGCAGAGTCAGGCAGATACTTCCTCAAGAGTGTCTAGACCCGCCAGCCGTGACCGAAGACATCCGGTTGTTGAGACTAGTCCAGCCAACCATACAGAGTTGAGTCATAATAACCTTGTCCGTTGTGCTTCCAAGCGGGTCTCGAAGCGGGGGAAAGGATGCGACAAGGTTCATGATGAGGTGGTTACTGCTGGAGAACCGGAAAGAACGTCAGGAGCACACCACTCCGGTGAGAGGGACTCCAATGAGACATCTGTTTCGTTTTCGTGGGGGTCCTGGATGTTGTTCTCGGTGAGGGAAGACGACGCGAATCGCGGATAACAAAGTTAGTGGTGGGGTTTAGTCCAGGGTCTCGCTCGACCCCGCCGCTTCCCATTTATGCCTCGTCTTCTCCCCTCCTTCACTTGCTTTCTTTTTCCTTTCATCCTCCAATCCTCTCACGATCTACTTACACTTGTACTCTTCCTGAACAAATTACTACTACTTCTCCCCTTCTTCAACAACTTCCTCACCAACCGTCCGGTACGACTCACAATGAGGCCGCGCACACAGGATCAGACTCCGGGTCTTTTCGCTATGGGTTCAGATGGGTCAAGGTATCGTACAATAGTATAACAGTCACTGCTCGCGCATGACAGGTGTTCGACTCGTGCTTCTGCTCCTTTCCCCCCCCGGTTTGGGGGCAGAAGCGCGGTCGTTCTGAGATTATACTGTCAAAACTTGATCTAGATAATACTAGCGAAAGGACATGCGTGGCACTGATTGTCCCCTAACTATTGGACCTACAGAAAGATGAGAGAGATCTCGCATCCCTCTCTGTTGCTGACAGTTTCCAGACCTTTGCAATTACCCTCGACCTGAGTGTATTTGTGCCAAGATGTCTACTGACAAGATCACCTTCCTGACCAACTGGTATGGATTGGGATCTCTTTGATGATTGCTTGAAACAGGTCACAGAATATATGCTAAATGTTGCTTTCTTTCAAGGCACGCGACCCCGTACCACGCCCCCCTGTACCTCGCTCAGAGCAAGGGCTACTTCAAGGAAGAAGGCCTCAAGGTTGCTCTCCTCGAGCCCAATGACCCCTCCGATGTCACCGAGATCATCGGCAGCGGCAAGGTTGACATGGGCTTCAAGGCTATGATTCATACCCTTGCTGTATGAGCTATTTTTCCCTTCTTCCACAACCAGTAGCTAACCAAACAACAGGCCAAGGCCCGCAACTTCCCCGTCACCTCGATCGGCTCTCTCCTTGACGAGCCCTTCACCGGTGTTGTCTACCTCAAGGACAGCGGAATCACCGAAGACTTCCGCTCCCTGAAGGGCAAGAAGATCGGCTACGTCGGCGAGTTTGGCAAGGTTCGTCCTCTATACCCTCTTCCTAAATCCACCACCATATCCTAACCAACACACCCCCAGATCCAAATCGACGAGCTCACGAAATACTACGGCATGACCGCCGACGATTACACCGCCGTCCGGTGCGGTATGAACGTAACCAAAGCCATCATCCGCGGCGACATCGACGCGGGTATCGGCCTCGAGAACGTCCAGATGGTCGAACTCGCTGAATGGCTCGCCGAGCAGGGCCGGCCCCACGACGACGTGCAAATGCTGCGCATCGACCAGCTCGCCGAGCTCGGATGCTGCTGCTTCTGCTCGATCCTGTACATTGCCAACGACGCCTTCCTGGCTGCCAACCCAGAGAAAGTGCAGAAGTTCATGCGGGCCGTCAAGCGCGCTACAGACTACGTTCTGGCTGAGCCCGCCCGCGCTTTCGAGGAGTACGTGGACATGAAGCCGATCATGGGCACTCCGGTTAACCGGAAGATCTTCGAGCGGTCGTTCGCGTACTTCAGTCGTGACTTGAAGAATGTTAGTCGTGACTGGGCTAAGGTGACCAACTATGGAAAACGGTTGGGCATCTTGAGTTCCGACTTCGTGGCTAACTACACCAATGACTACTTGTCGTGGGGACTGGATGCTGATTCCACCGATCCCCTTGGTGATCAGAAGCGTATGGCCGAGTTGCAGAAGAAGGTCGCTGCTGAGGGTGGTTATAAGCGGTTGGAGGTTGCTTCTGAGGCTTGATTGATTCTCGGTCAGCTCGAAGAAGGAACCTGCTCGCTTGACACTCTTGGAGCAGAGATGAGTATTATATAACGGTCACCTTACGAGTCAAGCTGGATGTGCTAGCTTACGCACTCTTTTAGTATGACTGCAATCTAAATGCACTTTATCATACGATTTTTCCAATATAAAACCAAATTCTCTCGTAGGAGACCATTCAACCTATGGAAGTAAATCAACCCACGCTATGTACCCTAATTCCACATGACAATTAAGATATAATGCTGTACACATGATCTACTCGCTAACATGCAAGTACAAAATCAAAGAAAAGAATTACAATCACCTCCTAACAACATCCATACTCCCCGCCCTCTCCACATCCGGCCCCGAACCCAACAACTGATCTCCCAACAACGCCGAAAACTCAACACTATCCTCCACCTCTACATCACTCAGTTCCTCATCTCCACCGAAGCGCTTCAAAGGCTGGAAGTTCCCGCGTTCCTTATCTTTTTCGTCCCGTCGACGGCTCCGTAACCACGACACAAGATAGCCCTTCTTGACGCCGAACCATAGAAACGCGCCGATCGCTGCCGTGGAGAACAGCGCAATCGTGAGGAATATGAAAATGACATAGATTTTGTCACTGTCGCCAAAGAAGGGATCGTTGCTATCACCACTCACGACGACTGCTTCGTTGGAAGTAGGGTCCCATCTTGCCAACTTGCTAGCGGCAAGGGTCTCGCCTCTTGCGCTAACGGCGCGGACGCGTAGGTACTTATATTTTGCGTCGTTCGGGATGGGGATTACTGTCTCGAAGCCGTCTTTCGGAACGGCGGATAGGAAGGTGGGTTGTGCTGTTTCTGAGATCTTTTCGTTGGTGCCTTCTAAGACCCAATGTGAGACTTCTGTGGCGCCGTTCCAACTGGCTGCGGCGCGATAGGCGTATACTTCGAAGTCCGGAAGGGTGTTCGGCTTGCCGACCCAGGGGTGTTTGAAGGTGCGGTAGGAGACGACTTTGCCTGTGTGGAAGTCTCGTCCGGGTGCGAAGTGGGCGTGGCAGAGGACTTCGCCGTCCATGCTGAATTCTGTCCATGCGGCGCTGAAACCGTATCCGACTAGGACGTTGCCGCTGTCGAGGATTTGGATGGAGCCTTGGGATTGGCTTTTGATCGGGTATTCGTTCCAGTACTCGTGTCGGACTTGCACGGTCATGTTGGTTTCGTCGATGTCGAGGTAGAGGCCTCGACTTGGGTACTGGGGTGCGCCTCTGCCGCGAGACGAATTGTCAAGGAGGGTGATTGCTGTGCCATTGTCGCGGAAGCGGGCGTGGTGTTGCCAGGTGAAATTAGTAGCTGCGCCGTCTGAAAGATCGGTGAAATTGCTTCGCTTGCCGCCTAGAGTCCAGATAGTTCCGCCTGTGTGACCGTCGATATAGATCAGGCAGTTGCAGTAGCGGGCTGAGACAAGAAAATTGCCTTTGGCGTCTTTGTCGATGCTGTTGATGTGGAAATAGTCCCACGGGCGTTCCTTATCCTCCCCTGAGCCTTCGCGACCTCGATAGACGTCGGCGATGTCGAAGTGTTCGGAGGCTCGCCATTCGAAGAGGAGCTCGTTCGTCTCAATGTTAACTTCCTGGAACGTGCCATCCCAGATCCAGCCATTCTCAGGACCGCCAGCGACCCGGATATCTGCCGGGCGGATGTCATAGATGGTGTAAACTGCAGTCTCGTCGAGGGTGATGTGGAACTCGTGAAGATCTGCTGCAAGCCCATTCGCACCACTGAGGGTGAAAGCTTCCTGGTACGAGGAGTCTAGCTTTATTGGAGACTTTAGTATTGCTTTGCCCCATTACTATGCGGAGTAAAGAAGGTGCCATACCATGTAGTATGTGCCCTCGCCGTGTCCCACCTTACCGTCGTCGCCCACCCAGAACGTCAAATAATCCTGGCCCTTATAGTTGTAGACATTGAAGTTGTAGGTGTGGCCGTAGGGCTTCGTCCAGATCAAGCGACCCTTGTGGTCTAGGATCATCGGCCCGGGTTTATGCACGCTATACCCGCGCGGAGAGATGAAGTAATACTTGTCATCTCTGCATTGTGGCCCATACTGCAGAAAGTTGACGGCTGCCCCTACGGTGGAAGTCGAACGATATGTCTCAATGGGCCATGATCCCAGTCTACCCTGTTCGTACAATTCAGAATCGAAATAGGGTCCTACATCTGCCAAGGCAGAGGCCAGGAACAGAAAGGCCGCTAGGGCGACGGTTAGAGTGCCCGGAATCATGGCGCAAGGGGCAAATACGTCGAGCGCTCAGGAGACATGCGTTGAATTGTACAAAGGCGGCGTTATTAATCAAAAATAGCGCCTCAACGGCAAGTACAAGATATGAATGAGAGTCAGGAGAAGAAGGGCATGATGATTATAGGGGAGGACAGGTAGGGGAATTGGCACGATTTTCAAGGCCTCGATGGGGGCGCGGGAGATCCACCGTGCCCATCGGTAGTGGCTTGCTTCAAAGCCGGCAGCAGCAGACTATCCAGACAATGGCAGGCTAAATGACGAGATGCTCTTCTAGGCCAGAATTTTAATGGCCAGAGCAAGTGTTAATTGATTCATCCAACGAGGTAGTGGATGTTGTTGGGATGATGAGAAAATCCCGGTGATATTTTCCTTGTTGGGTCAGGCGCGAATGTCCCACAGCAAAGAATGGATGGAACAAGAAGCTCTGCCGGCCATTACTTTCGCTTGGATCCCCTCAATGGCTGGTATCTGCTCTTTATCGTTCAACCCCTGTATAGAGGACACGGAATTCCGATGGGATAAGCGTAACGAATGGGATAGCTCTGGCATGATTCAAGACTCTGCGATTAAGCCTTTTAGCTGGGATTCATCAACCAACTGACCAAGCACAACTGGATGGGCAACGTCCCACTCTGTCCGACGTAGCCGGTTGGCCCTGTTCGATAATAATAATCTCCAATCACCAGTGCCTATTGGAGGCCCTGTACTGGCAGTTTGGACGAGTCCGACTCCACTCGGCGCCACAGCTTTCTTGCTAAATTGAATTAGATTAGTTTTCTGTTGAGGGGTATCGAGTCCTGCCCCAGGAAGGTTTGGGTAACAGTATATCGGAACTTGACCGGGACAAGGAGTTAATGCTCGTGACCAGGATCTGCCGAAATTCACAGCCAATATGTGATGAAGTGGTAGCAAGGATAGTCGAAAGTGAGTTGAAGATGTAGTGGAAGAAAGGGTAGGTACAGGGTCAGGTGCTGCCCACGTGGATGGATCTTTCCCTTTTTGTCATCCAAAGTGTCTATCTCTCTACATTGCTGGTCTTCTCTTCTGATAACTACACTATCGCAACTCCCAACACGCCAATCTCAAGAATGCTCACGTCATATCATTTCTAACTCCGAGTATAATCTGTCTAGCAGGAACTGCAGAGCCGATCCCTTCGGCAACGTTTGGCCCGAGATGTGGTGCGGAGATCGGCACGGACACCAGTGTTCTCCAGATCGTGGCATTTCATTGCTGGGTTTGATGTTCGCTGCCCGATTTGATTCGTGGAATGCCTTCTGTGAAATAGCTGTAACCCCTCTGGCTTTCGATGGAAGTTATGAGGGGTGTGCGAGACTTATAAGAGGCGAATCGAGGCTATCATGAAAGTCGACTCGGAAAAATGCTGGAAGAGGACATTTCCGCTACGCAGACTAGCACCGCATCGTCATCATGCGGCCTTCACTAGCCTTGACGAGTCCCAGCCTAGTTCCTTATCTCTTCTCCAACGTCGGCGAGGCTAGGATATCCCCGAAGTCTCCACATCCACCCTCCATTGACCGGGCACAAGTTGTATCCAGGTTCAATCCTCGCCGCAATGCCAGCTCGACGAGCACCCCAATACAGGTGGGAAATGGGGACTTCGCATTCGGAGCAGATATTACAGGGCTACAGACCTTTCTGCCATACGGTATTCTTTCTTCCTGGGGATGGCACAATTCGTCACTGCCTGCGAACTCCACTCCATCAGATTTCACGGGATTGGACTGGTGGACGCATGACCGGCTAGTGAATTATGATATGCCCAACCCTGCAGAACCAGAGATTTCTCAGTGGTTGATTGCCAATCCACATCGTATCAACCTAGGTCGCATCGGATTGGTTTTCGGCGGAGATTACAGCAATTACACTGAGGAAGACCTGCAGAACAAGTCGCAAAAACTGGATGTTTACCAGGGTATTCTGCAGTCTAATTTTACTATCGATGGCCATCTGACCACCATTACCACCAGCGTCGACCCCAGCTCGGACAAGATAGCAGTGCGCTTGCAATCCGAACTGTTATTGCTAGGCCTTTTAGGAGTCTTCTTTGACTATCCGTATGCTACAGACGATAATAAGTTCGAAGCCCCGTTTGTTGGGGATTGGAACGCTGTCTCAAATCATACAACGGTCCTGCACTATGCAGGAAATGGTAACCGGGCCCAGGTGCAGCACACCCTCGACAATACCACCTACTACACCACATTGCAGTGGAGTGGTAGTAATGTGTCTGTTTCCAGAGTTCCCGATTCTCATCGATATGTCGTGCGGCCGAACGGGAACCATACGAGAGCGTTTGAATTCACAGCAACATTCTCTCCAATTGATGACTTCCCGTCCTCTTCGCTATCTTTTGATGCCATCATTGCACGATGTCAGCAATGGTGGACAACCTACTGGAAAACGGGCGCCTTCGTAGATCTGACGGAAACTGCGAATGCAACAGCAGATGAAATCCAAAGACGCGTGATTCTGTCCCAATACCTGCTAGCTGTCAATGAGGCCGGACATGATCCACCGCAAGAATCAGGTCTAGTAAATAACGGGTGGTATGGCAAGTTCCATATGGAGATGTATCTATGGCATTCCGCTCACTGGACTCCCTGGGGCAAACTCCCTTTACTGGAGCGGAGCATCGGTGTCTACAATCGGTTCCTTCCCTCGTCGATGCAAAGGGCAGCTGACCAGGGATATAGCGGCTTGAGATGGGGCAAGATGAGCGACCCAAGCGGGAGATCTGCGCCGGGCGAGATCAACGCCCTGCTCATATGGCAGCAACCCCATGTCTTTTACTTCGCAGAGACGGAGTATCAGTCTGCCCGACATGCAGGAAGAAACACGGAAGATGTCCTAGCGAAATGGGACCACGTACTGACAGAATCGGCAGACTTCATGGCATCTTATGCCTTCTGGAACACCTCAACAAGCGTATATGATCTCGGCCCTCCAATGTACCCCGTCTCAGAGAATACACCCCCCAACAGCACCCGAAACCCCACCTTCGAGTTGGCATACTGGCACTTCGGTCTCGATGTAGCCATATCCTGGAAAGCCCGACGTGGCCAGCAAGCTCCGCAGGAATGGAAACACGTCAAAGACAACCTTGCACCACTACCAACCGTCTATACTGTAGACGAAACGACGGGCGACCAAGTACTCACATACACACTCTACGAAGGCATCCCACATATGTGGACAGGCCCTGATACCGTAACCGACCACCCGGCACTCACTGGCATCTACGGTCTCCTACCCTCAACCACAGCGATCAACCAATCACTCGTATCGGCGACCGCAGCCCAAGTCGCCAGTGATTGGAACTTCACGACCTGCTGGGGCTGGGACTTCCCCATGCTGGCGATGAACGCGGCACGGCTGGGAGACGTAGACGGCGCGGTGCAGTATCTGGTGCATTCGAATTTCCAATTTGACGACGTGGGTATGCCGGTGGGAACCAAGGCACCAACCCCTTACTTTCCTGGAAGTTCAGCCCTCTTGTTGGCTGTTGCGATGATGGCTGGAGGTTGGGATGCTGCAACAAACAGCAGTCAGCAGGACTTTGCACCGGGGTTTCCGGCCCAATGGAATGTTCGTGCCGAGGGATTTGGGCAGATGTTGTAGGACGAGGGTGTGATTACTGTACGGTCAACAAATTGTAAATGAATAGTGGAGAGCTGTGTATGCAATGTACGTCTCAAGTTCAGCTAATCTATCTCGATGGGGGTATGTAGGGCACAATGTACGGGGAAATTATTATGTAGGATTAAGAAGACGCGGCGTAGAAGGGTAGGCGGGTATATCATTCCTCCGAAGAAAATCGCCGAAAGTCTTTGCTTATTTAGTGCGCTTGTAGATCTTCGCGAGGAAGGCCTCGAAGACCTCCTTCTTCAGACCCTCCGACTCGTTGATGCTGTTGATCTTGGTGCGAATTTCACCCACAACACTTTCCTCGTATTCCTTGTAGATCTTCTCCAGGTCGAGCTCCTTGTACAGGGCCTTGACCTTGGCCTCCAGCTCGGCGTCCTTACGACCGTAAGCCGTGTCGAGGACCTTGCGCTGCTCGGCGTTGCAACGCTGCAGAGCCTGGTTGACCAACCACGAGCACTTGTTATCCTGGATATCGGTACCGATCTTGCCGATGAAGGCGGGGTCACCGTAGGCATCGAGGTAGTCATCCTGGACCTGGAAGTACTGACCCAAGGGGATGAGGATGTCGTGGGCCTGACGCAGGTTCTCGGGGGTAGCGAGCTGGAGGTAGTGCAGAGCCAGAGCAACGGGGAGGTAGAAGCTGTAGTAGGCGGTCTTGTAGGTGACGATGAACATGTACTTCTCCATGGAAAAGTTGTCGAGGTTGACGTTGTCCTCGGGGGCGGTGATCAGGTCACACAGCTGGCCCAGCTCGGTCTGGTAGGTGGTCTCGTGGAAGAGCTCGACGAGGTCGATGTAGGCGGGGTGGGAGCGGAAGTACTTCTTCAGGATAATGTAGATGCCGGACTCGAGCAGGAAGGCGTCGTTGATGGCGATCAGACCGACTCCTTCGTGCTTGTACCAGCAGGGCTGGCCACGACGGGTGATGGAGCCGTCCATGATGTCGTCGCTGACCAGGAAGAAGGCCTGGAGCAGCTCGGTGAGCCAGCCCAGCAGACTGAGGTGCTTGAATTGCTCATCGGTCAGGGACTTCTTCAGGAGAGCGAGACCGGTGTCGGGGACGGAGAGACCACGGTTGAGCTTTCCACCGGGGACGTTGACGTTGAGGGCCTATTGTAGGGAAAATCTAGGTTAGGGATAGACTTTGGGGGCGAAGACTAAGGGAGGTCAGCACTTACCTTCTCGAACCACTCGAGAGCGTTCTGGGGCAGCTTGTACTGCTTCGCATAGTTCAGAAGGTCTTCCCGCAAAGAGGGGAAGACGGCCTCGAAGTCGGCGCGGGCAGTGGTGGACATGATTGCACGACAGTACTAAGGAGGGAAAAAGGGAGGAGGAAGAGAATGAAGGGGGAGAAGGAGAAGAAGAAGAAGAAGAAAAAGAAGAATGGAGAAGAACAATGGGCAACACACGAGGAGGGGATCCAAATGGTGGTGATCGTCCCAATTCGTCCAGTTAGTGGCCGGCCAGCCCAATTGGGAAAACCCCGCTGTTTGTTCTGTTTGCCCCGTCACCGCCCAAAAAGGAAGGCCATTCGAGATTCCCCGGAATCTTTTGGCGATGCGATGCTCTTCGCCGCGTCTCCTGCCTCTTTTTGACATTGTTTTCTGCCTGCACGCTTGGCGCTTCTTATGCGCTCTAATTAATTGGCTCCATTGTTTCCAGAACCTTTTGACATCACTTGTCTCCACCGTCTCTGGAGCGCGCAAGATCCACCAAGAAGCAATGCTCCTGGCGCGTCACTAACTATAGCTAGCTACATACACTCAACTCAGCAGAGCTCCGCGGCTTTCTTTGCTATACGCGTGCGCATTAACGCGCGCAAACACCTTCGCTACCATGGCCGTCCCATTTACAGACGAGAACATCAAGGAGCTCAGATTCCGGCTCGAAGATGCGGCGATTAAATGCTCCGAACGTTGTTTATACCAGTCAGCCAAATGGTACCGTTACCGGCATCACCCTGGCTCACCTCCATGAGCAGTCACTAACCTTGTGGGTCAGGGCAGCTGAAATGCTAGATTCGATCGTACCAATTGAACAGTACGACACAGATCCAGACTCGCCAATGGACTACCCCGAAGCTCCTTCGAATGCCCAGAACCCTTATCTCCGAACACAAGATCCGCTCGAAGCAGCCCTCGAAGCGCAGGAGTCACACAAGTACCTCCTTGCGAAATCTTACTTTGACACCCGCGAATATGATCGTTGCGCCTCGGTCTTCCTTCCTCCGACCATCTCCCCCGTTCCTCTTACCTCAACGCCGCCGAATCCCAAGTCTAGACAGTCGTTGACTCCGCAGAAAGGGAAATCGAAGGCTTCGGCATATAGTGGCGTGAAAGATAATAGTGTGACCAGAAACCCGTACCCCAAGCTCAGCCAGAAATCGCTGTTTCTAGCGTTGTACGCCAAGTATCTAGCAGGCGAGAAGCGCAAGGATGAAGAGACCGAAATGGTATTGGGACCAGCAGACGGAGGCTCGACTGTCAACAAAGAACTACCGGATTTGGCGCGAGGACTAGAGGGATGGTTCACGGAGCGGCAAGATAAGGGACTGGAAGAGCGTAGCCAGGGATGGTTGGAGTATCTGTATGGTGTCATACTTCTCAAGGGGCGAAATGAGGACGAGGCCAAGAAGTGGCTTATCAGGAGTGTTCATCTG